AACATTATATGGAGTGATAGATAAAATAATAATTTCAATCATTTGCGAGTGGTACATCATGTATGTTCAGGTAAATTACTAGTTTGTGTTCAGTTCTTCAATAATACCATATCAACTTTTCTCTATAGAAAATGGTATAATTAATAATTTGTTTCATCTTTTATAATCGAAATTATTCGCTATATCATAATATTCGGTTAATTGTCATTTTCATTTGAGTGATGACCATTACTAGAATTGATAGGCCATTAAGATATCTGTTCCTTCATATATATCAGCATTTATTACGATTGAATATGAAATATACACATACAAATATACGTATAATTACCTTTATATTTCATTATTTTGATCAAATGGTTAATAACATTTACTTCTACACTTAAAAGTAGAGGATATTCAACGCTAGCTAATACGTGGATAACACAAATTGGGTAAAGATAAAGCACGTGAGGCTTGGATTTCAGATATGAGACAACTTGGTTTGATACCATGAAGAAAGTTGAGGTTCCACCATCAAAACAATTGACAATATAGAAAGCATCTCAATTATTTATAAGCACATGCAATGTCTATTCTTTCTCCGATGTGAGATTGATACTAAACATACCTATCCTCGGATATCTCGCTTGTATTAAAAAAAAAAACATTATTCTAATCAGTGTGAAAATCTCATTACTCCTTCAGTTCTTCTGTAATGGATTTAGGTTCTACTTACTATTGTTAACAAAACCCAAAAAAGAGGAGAAGCAGTTGGGTTCTCATTAAGTATCCCTGACTTTGTCCATTCCTTTTTGCTACTCTGCTCAGACCTGCAGCTGCCTGCATATATATATATATATATATATATGTATGTATGTATATGTCTAAACAAATTAAAATGCCAGCAGCAGGCCGGGGTTCTCTCTGGCTTTAAATTGGGAGAAACAAACACTTCAAACTAAAAGTGTGGAAATAATTTTCACCCAAAAAGTGATGAGGAAATTTATGGGTTCCTGAACAAAGTAAAACTGCTGTCTAGTTGGGGGAGCAATGTCTATACTCTATTTAACTCACTATTGATGAAAAATCTGTAACATCAAGAGAAAATCGCCTTCTCGTGAAGGCGACCACTGTGTTTGATAACTTCTCTGGTCTCTGTGTATGATGAACTCTTAAGTAATCTTTCTTTACCTTTTGATTTAATGCATCCATTATTTTCAATAAAATAACTTAATCATTCAACTACAAACCCTAAAATTGGTAACATCCCTACATAAGTGCTGCCACAGAATTGGGTTGATGCCAACAATATAAATATAAGGGTATGTTAAATATTTTTTAAAAATTAGTTCAAATGGAATAATGATCAAATTGGTACTTATTATTATGCAGAAGTAAAATTAGTTGTCTTGGCCAAATGTCAGTGTGTAGGCCGGTTTATTTTCTTGTCTCGAATGTCTGTGAAAAAAGAAAGAAAAAAAAAAGGACTAAAGCTTTTGAACTGCAACGTACTAATACATCAGTAGCCATCTATATTAACGTACGTTCTCAATTATTTTGTTGAAAGATTCCACTACTTTTCTTGATTATTGAGGTGCCCTTATGCACACATGAATTTATATATGAAGAACTCTCTCTCTCTCTCTCTCTCTCTCTCTCTCTCTCTCTCTCTCTCTCTATATATATATATATATATATATATATATATATCAAACTCCTAAAGATGCAAAGAGTAAATATATATGTATGTATAGTCTTTCGTTCATGTAAGTTATATAGCAAAAACTAGTGCAACTTGGGGTTGTGAAAATCTCACTGCATTCTGTACACATGCAGTGGTCCTCTCTCTATGCATTCAGTGGATGCCTTAGAACCTGCCTTGGTCCCTCCTCTACTCTTCTCTAAAAGGTCTTACCCTTCTATCCATATATCCTCTCCAAACTGTACATATACATATATGTGCAGCTGATATACATATATGTGTGTGTTTACATACATACATACATATACATACACACACACACACACACACACACACATATATATATATATATATATTCATCCCAACTGGTATACAGACGATATCCTGCACACACCACTACTTTAGAAGCTGACTGACTGAAATTACTGTATGTACATATATATAGGAAACCCTAGTCTCTTTACTAATTATTCGTATCGACTTACTATTTATAAATATGCATGCATGCCCTTACTAATCTTAAATTTTGCTCCACACAAAATGAAGAAGAAACTAAAACTGTTGGTAAATAATGAACAATGGATATTACAAATATATATTTTGGTGAAGGAAATGTTAGCAAGTTGGCAAATTTGGTTTATTATTTGTAACTTGTAGTAGAATAAGTATTAAGATTAGGGTTTAATATTGTCTTCTTGTTTGTTTCATGGTTAAAGTTTTTATAAATTCACATCTTGTAACTTTGTAAGAATTAAGTTTAGTGTGATGTAATTTTTTGGGTTATGTGGTCACCTTCACAATTTTGTAGTGTTCTTTATTTTTTTTGTTTGTGGAATAAAATTCAGAGTTTACAATTCGTTTTTTTCTTTTATCATCCATTGATTCGTTAACATTCTTTTTGTAATATTTGATATGTTTTATATATAACTAATTAAATTACTTAATAATACTTAGTTGGAGACGGATCCGTGGTACCACTTTTTTTACAGAATTTTTGACATACGTTCTTGTGGGGTCCACTCAATCTATCTTTTAGAACATCAATCATCCTTGCAAAAAATTAGACAAATCCAATATTATTAGGACATTCATTTGTAGCGAAGAAAAAAAAAAGAATACGGTTCTACAAAGAAACTCTAAAACCTTAATCCAACAATCATATGGTTTTAGATTAGGGTGATTTTTCGTATATATGATCTTTGAGGGAAGACTTAAAAGATAAACGGTTTAGATCGTTGAAAAACATTACGAAGTGCGCCCCACTAAAACGTGTGTCAAAAGTTATGTAAATAAAATGATTCACGTATGGATTTGTAATCATATCTATTCACATGAATATATATATATATATATATATATATATGTATATGTTTGGTTTTTTAGCCAAAATGGTCTCTGAGATTTGCATAACACATCACTTTGGTCATTGAGATTGAAAATCAATAGAAATGGTCCATGAGATTGTCCACCATCCATTATTTTGGTCCCTTCGTTAAACACTCCGTTAAATATCCCGGAGCTCTTGGCCTAATGTTTGAGCAATTTTCAAAACTTTGTAACTCAATCGTTTCTTAACCAAATTCGACCCATAATACATCAAAATGAAGATAGGAAAGTGTAGAACAAGATTATACCTATTTGGAACCCCAATGGTTGCCGGAGATGACCGGAAAATAGCTTGAAAGGTGACTGGTCCACGGGAAAACTGGAAAACTCGCCGGAAACTGGGTAAACTTTAAACATTCATAACTTCTTCAATACTCAATGAAATAGAGTGATTCAAAGACGAAAATCATACTTTTCGACGAGAAAAAGAGAATGGTACCTTTCTCGATGGCTTAATCGCCATGGTTTGGCCGGAAAAAGACTCGAAAGTGGCTAACTCGACTACCAAGATAGCCATTTTCGAGTCTTTTTACGACCAAACCACTGCGAGTTAACCTTCAAAAAAGGTACCATTCTCTTTGTCTCATCTAGAAGAATGATTTTCATTTTTGAATCACTCGATTTCTTTGAGTATTGAATAAGTTATGAACGTTTAAAGTTTACCCAGTTTTCGACGAGTTTTCCAGTTTTCTTATGGACCAGTCACCTTTCCGGCTATTTTCCGGTCATCTCTGGCAACCATTGGGCTTTCAAATAGGTATAATCTTGTTCTACACTTTTCTATCTTCATTTTGATAGAATATGGGTTGAATTTTGTTAAGAAACGATTGAGTTATGAAACTTTGAAAATTGTCCAAACTTCCGGTCAAGAGCTCCAAGACACTTAACGGAGTTTTTAACAAAAGGACCAAAATAATGGATGGTAAACAATCTTAAGGACCATTTCTATTAATTTTCAATCTCAGAGACCAAAGTAATGTGTTATGCAAATCTCAACGACCATTTTGGATGAAGAGCCTATATGTTTTGGTGAATACTGCACTACAAATTCACATGTAGGGAAAAAGATCGAATAAACATTCTCTCAAACATTAATTAGGGTTTTATGTATAGTTCAGTGCTTTCTTGATTAAACAGGAAGCTAGGAGTTTCTTCTTCAACTCATGCTACGTGGAATACACCAATAAAGCTACTTGCAGTTGCCGATTAGGGTGGGAGGATGGTCCCCCTTCAAAATAATCCAATATCTATATCTAGAGAGCCTATTGCATAATTATACACGGTAAACTAAGACCAAACTTGTTCATTAAGCAGTGATTGTTCAGTCTGTGGTATGAACAAATTGATGAAATTTTTATTGTTGTTTGACAGATTGACAAGTTATAGCGGCATCGGAAACATAAGTCATGTAATGTACAATTTTATGTGTTATAATAAGAGGGGACAATAGAGTTAATATGTCCTATTTTTAGAACATTAGTAAAAACAAATTCATGTGTTTTTTTTTCTTTTTTGAGTATAACAATATATTTTACACTAAGGGATATGGAGTTTGGCTAAGCCACACAATGAACAACCTAATTTAGTATCGAATTCGTCATTTACAAGATTCGAACCTAAGACCTCTCACTTACAAGTGAACAAAAATATCACCAGAACGTAGTATTGAGCGGCACAAATTCACGTGTTATATTATATAATTGACTAAGATGATGATAACGCTACGTTGTTATGTTTCAAATACATAAAAGATTGCTCTAAATTAACGTATCAGCGTACTCGTATGCCACGTGGCCATAAATGGTGCCATACCTTTTCCTTTTTCATTCCATGCAAGCGGTAAATTCTAGTTAGCATATTTTCTTTACCAAAATGTGAATTATTATCTTTAAAAGTTTATTCTCTCTCTCTCTCTCTCTCTCTCTCTCTCTCTCTCTCTCTCTCTCTCTCTCTCTCTCTCCATCATTGAAGCTAAGAGCCTCTATGATGTTGAATTTGACAGGCAAATGAGGTACACAGCTTAGTAAGAAATTCAAGAGAGCATCATATATACTTTAGCAAGAGGTTCAAATTGCACTGTTGCATCCTGTTGCTCTCTCCTACTTCTGCTTCTTGCTCATAAGTTTTGGACATCCAAGAACTAAATCTGATCTTAGCTTCTACAACCTCAATTTTCAGTCTGATGTGAGTACAGTTCATCTTATTATCCTAATTATATCTTCAAATTTGTTTGCTAAAAGATAAAGGTAATTTAGGGTTTCTGGTAGTTTGAATTTGTATGGCTTTTGTTACAAAATCAAAGGAAGAGAATAGAAGAAAAAACCCTTATTTCAATTAAATTCTTATTTTCTAATAGCTTTTCCTCAACATGCATGTTAACTTCTTGAATTTAGTTTCCAAATTAAATGTTCAATTTTAAACGATTCAGATTTCAGTTCTTCAACTTCTTTCAAGATTAAAATGGTCCAATTCATTAATCACACACACACACACACATATATATATATATATATATATCTTTAAGTAGTTTGTGACCATTCATTTTAATGCAATATTTATCAATATCTGCTCAACTTCTCAGCAGAATTTTCAGATTTGCATATGGAGGATCTCCATAATAATTAGAGGAGAATGTAAATAATTGAAAAGAAATACTACTATCAGAATCTTTGATGAGAAATGTTTTCTTTCTCATCTATCAATCTCGAACCGATCAGTGATCAATTTAATTAGTTCATGAAGCAATTTTCCATAAGATATAAACTTATATGGAGTCCAAAAGAAATTAAGAATAATCTCACGAAAATGGAAGAAGGCTCATATGGTATGTAACAGTTTATTTTTCCTCTTAATTTTTGTTCTTCTTTCTCTTTCAGTTGAATCTTTGGAGCTGAATGATCGCAGTAGTTCTTTCCATATCCACAAAAAAGGAGCGATTGAAAGAATGGCGAGTTTACTATAATCAGAAATATTACAATGATAACAAATTCAAGGGACAAGGGTTTCCAAGCGAAGCAAGAGGGCCACAACAACAATGATGGGAACAACAATAGCAGTTTTAATAAGGCATCATCATCAAGTACTACTACTTCAAGGCAATGGTCTGGATTTAGTAATCCGAGGATCGTGCGAGTTTCACGTGCTTTCGGTGGGAAAGATAGGCACAGCAAGGTTTCCACAGTGAGGGGATTGAGGGACAGGAGAATTAGGCTTTCAGTACCAACGGCCATTCAATTGTATGATCTTCAAGATAGGCTTCGTCTTAGCCAACCTAGCAAGGTAATAGACTGGCTGCTTGGTGTTACGGAACAAGATATCGATAAGCTCCCTCCACTTCAAGTTCCTCATGGATTTGGTCATCATCAGCCAATGCTAAATCCTCATCAAGCTAATAATTCTCTTATTGCTCCTTTCTTTGATGTAAATTCTACATTTATGGAGGCAGACCAAGTTGATGAAGAAGTTCGTGATCAAGCGAAAGGCAAGTCGATCAAGACAAACGATGAACAAGATGATCAAAATCGTCACGACCACGAAGGAAACGTTAGTGGACAACACCTAGCTCAAAAGCTATTTCCCATAGGTAATCATCCTTCTTCCATACCTGGCTTGCTAAACAATGCAATGGCATTCAACTACTATCACAACTATTCGGAGCCTTCAACGCTATCTCTAGCGCAGTTTGGCAGCCATGGATTTCCACAAGTACCACAAACAGATCAGCATCGTAGTCATATGATGAGTACTAATGCCTTATCATTTTCAACTCCAATGGCATCTGGTTCTCAATTATTCTTCTGTCCACCTACAGCAACACCGACGCTATTCGGTTCATATCCTCCATATATGACCAATCCAATAGTGGAGGGTACTAGTACTGCTACTGATCAGCCTAGACAAGCCAGCCATTTCCAATTTTTGAGCTCGTCAAGTAATTCACAAAATTTCCTAGCTAACAATGCTCTCATGCCTTATCTTCATTCAATTAGCTCATCCTTGAAATGCTTTCCATCATTGGTTGATCCCAAGCAGCAGCTCCATTTGGATTCACAAAATAACAATGCAAGCCAACCAAACAAGGACGTTCCATAACTTATTAGCCTTATTGCAAGTAAGATCGTATACCTTAGTTGTTGGTGTCATGATCTTGTAACATCGATCTCTATACATCGTGCATATTGATTTGCGCTACAGATGGGGGATGGAAACTGATGAACCGTGAAATGTATTCGGGTTGACTCGAGGAGCTAAGAGTTGATTCTTCAGCAAAAGATATATAGCTACAAGAATTACTAGTGAAAAACTATGTAAGTATGACAATGTTATATCTAGACATTTGCAAACTAGTGATCCATTTGAGTTCTTACAATCTTGTATACTATATATACTTTAGCCGATACACATTAATCCATCGATATATACATCTCAATTAACGGGATAATTGGTATAATACTTACTTTTTTGTTGATGAAAGACCTGGGTTCTATACATTAGACCATCACCAAATAATAGTTGGTAGTGTGATTACAGTGCTTGGGGTCAGTTTGTATATTACCATGTCGTAATACTCACTACGTACTCCATATAATCCAGAATATTTAAGATGTAGTTCCTTTCAGAGGATACATATTTAATCTTGTTAATTACTGATAATTGGAAGAAAAATTGATAGAAAATCAGCCGATTCAGATGTCTAATTAAGTAACTACTTATAGAGTAACAAAGGAGTAAAGAAAAGTAAATACTCTCCATGTGTTGTTTAGTATGTAATGCCAAAATGAAACTATTCGTTGATATAGAGTGTTTTTTTTAAGAGAAAGTTTAGGGGTAGGGAGGCTATTCCATTCTAGAGCCAGGGCATGTGATCATAAGCCTCTTTGAGAACTTACGGAGAGGGCCTTAGCTCATTTTCTAGTTTTTAAAAAGGGACACTTTGGATGCGGTCCCTAACTATCAATATTCTTTGATTGAAACCTTGTTAGTTTTTAGTTTTTGATTGAGGTCCCTGACATTAATGTAATAATGTAAGTTACTATATTTTTTTAATTAAAAATTAAAAATTGAAATTTGTAATTGTTTATATTAATGAGATTTTAAATAACACCCATAATTTATGGGATTAAAAATAATAAAATATAAATTATACTCTCAATTATATTGTGTGTGTGTGTATATATATATACATATATGTATGGGTACATTAACCAAAATTAACAAAAAAAGTTATTGTACCAAAACATGGATACATTCTCAAATCAACGAAAAAGAATGTACCCATATAAGTTTAAACATAGATTAAAAAATTTGAATGGATTTTATATTAAAAAAAAAGGTACATTTTACATATAACAAATTGATATATTTGAGAATGGGTACATTTAAGATTAAAAAAATTGAAAAATTATATGAATGGGTACATTTAAGATTAAAAAATTGAGAATCTTTTTATATATAAAAAAACTAAAAGGTACAAACTTAATTTAATTTAATTTTTTATTATTTGGAAATGTTTGAATTGAAAATTAATTAGAAGTTTAATAGAGGTGTGAGTATTAAACCCTAAATTAATTACTAATTTTTATATTAAAAAATTATATAATAAACAAGTAAATTCATTATCACATTAATGCTAAGGACTTGAATCAAAATTTGAGAACTAATAAGGTCTTAGTCAATGAACAATAAAAACTAGGGACCGGATACTAATTTTTCCTTTTAAAAATCACCCACCAAAAATGATTGTTAGCAGATGCATTCGAACTTATGCCTTAATCTAACAAAGAAAACGACCCTTATAAACATAATCAACCTTCGTTCGCAATATATAATGTGTTTAGTGCATGTATGTTTTTAATTTAGTCGCCCTATCTCATAGTGTTTGACTATGAACTCCTTTCGAAGAAGAGGATTCATATTATAAAATGTGGCCATTATCAACCACGTTTTAGGATTCATAGATTAAGTATAAAGACTCGAGAGAGAAAGAAAACTTAAAATCACGTTGATGTGTATTTTGGCTTGATATTAACTAGGATTATGAACTGTGATATGCACATCTCTTCAAAAGCCAATATTAATAAGAAATAAAATAAAATTTTAAATTTTGATGCACGTACTCTACATAATCAACTGCCCTACCCTTTGTACAGTAGTATGTACATCACATGCTCGTTAAGATCATGTGGGTGTGTGCTTGTAACTTTTAAACTGTTTTCTTTTAATATCTTCTTCCCGTTTCACCAGCCGGTTTTGGGGTCCAGAAATTAACACATATATAAGAAATGTAGGAGATGTATATACACAAATATATGCTGTGGTGTTTATATATGTGGGGTGCAATCTGCAATAGTATGTATAATGAACAGCACGTAGTCCTAGGGCCAAAATCGAGATCACTTCTTAATATCTGCTGCTAAAACTGTAGCTCAAGCCTCGTGATGCCCAATCGTACTTCCAATAATATTGCACGATTCTAATTACTAATTGTGAGTCCTGACATATATACTTAATACGTAGGAACACATTATAAATGTATATACTGTATCCATATAACCAGAAACATGCACCACTGTTTGCCTCTGTATGCATGTGGGTGCATGTTTAATTCTATATAAAGCACTCAATAATATATATTAATGCTTCCAAAAACGTAGAAAAAGTAACAAGTGGAAAGTGGCATATAACTCGTTTGGAAATGTTTTTAAAATGGTTGAAAGCGTTTATAGTGAAAATATTTTTAGAATCAATACTTAGTAAAAATGCAAGTAAATCCATAAAAACCACTTTATGTGCTTTTAAAACCTTTTTGTTTTTGTTTTTTTTTTGCTAAAAGCACTTCCAAACGAACTTAATTATAATCGGAAGAGAGAAACTTTTTTTAAAAAAGAATGTTATTATAACGATATTTTAAATCATATCATGTAGTGTTATATATGTGTTTTTTTATGGGGATAAATTAGGTTCCCATCTCTCCTTTTGCTACTCTATTGATTAAAACCTTATTCATTTTCAATTTTTTATCAAGGTTCTTGGGTATTAATAACATCATTAATTATTTCAATTATAAAATATTTTTACCTAAAAATATTCATTTAGTGTTAAAAATGTTACAATTAGTATATTTATATTTATGGCTAAATTTTTTTTATCATATATTTTTATTTTTAGTTTGTACCCATTTTTAATTTGCAAACCTTTTTTAATTTGTACCAATTTTCTTTTCAGTTTTAATTTGTACCCATATATTAATTTCTTTTTGTGCCCATATTTTTTAAAGTTTTATTTGTATTTGTGCCCATGTGTTTACCGTCAAGTGACATTGTATAATTAATCAATGATAGAAAAATTACATATGATATATTTATGTTTTATGGCTAAACTTTGTATCATATATTTATATTTTTAGTTTGTACCCACTTTTAATTTGCAACCTTTTTTTAAATTTGTAGTATTTTATTTTTAGTTTTAATTTGTACCCATGTGTTAATTTCTTTTTGTGCCCATATTTTTTAAAATTTCATTTGTACTCATAATTTTTTAATCTTTTATTTGTACCCTAATTTTTTATTTATAATGTACCCATTCTTCTTTATTAATGTACCACTTTGTTATATGTGAAATGTACCAATTTTTTTTAACTATGGATACATACTTTTGCCAGTTATTATTTCTTATTGTTACATAGTTTTTATCCATTTCTTCAATTAAAATGTTTGAATTTTTTTTTATTGTAGCCTTTTTAAATAGTATTATAATGAGGGATTTTAAATTTATAGGATTATAAATCTCATAAAATATCAAACAATAAATGTCAAAACTATAAAAATATAAATATTAATAGTAATATAATGAGGTGTACAAAGTCAAGGGATTTTGATCAAATTTTGAATACCATTAAGGTTTTAGTCAAAGAGTGTTAGAAATTAAGAACCGCATCCAAAGTATTTTTTTTTTCACATGACATTTCGTGATTGATATCGAAAAATTCTCGTTGAATGAACATCGAGCTCTTCTTAAAGAACACACGCACACACACACACACACTCTCTCTCATGCATTTTGAAATGCATGCCAAACTACTAATTCTTCGTATTTTAACCATCCATATGATAGGATAGAGATATTGGTGTATAAGATGTTGACACTTGTAATCAGATTAGAGAAGAAGTTAGTTAAGGAAGTTAGCTGTGTAAGTGTAAAGCTATAAATACCTCAACACTGTATTACTTGAAGGTTAAGAAAATATATCAGAGATATTCATCTTCTCTCTAAGTTCTTCTTTCTCTCTCTCTATCTCTGTCTCTCTCTCTCTCTAAGTCTGTTACATTCTTATTCTTTCTCACTGTATAAGATTGATCATAGTTAACATGGTATCAATCGCCATTGTTGCCTGCGCATAATCTTCGATCCTCTGCTTCCGCTCCGATTGAAGGTGTATTTGTTCTTCTTGATTTGTGTTTGGTTATTCTCTGAGTTTCTTCGTCTTCCTCTAATTTGGATTTCTAGGGTTTCTTGGGTGGTCGTGATCTTTCTTCGATCATCTTTCCTGTTTCCTTCTGTCGTGCATATCAACTGTTTGCTATAATTCCTCAAAGAGTTTTCCGACGAAATTTCCATGGTGACTGCAACGCAACTTCAAATTGTGCAATCTCCGATTACTGCTTTAATCTCCACAATCTCGACTTCGGTTAATGTCAAATTGGATGACTCCAATTATCTCAATTGGAATTTTCAGATACAACTTTTGTTGGAAAGCAATGGTATTATGGGGTTTGTTGATGGCTCGCACCCTTGTCCACTTCAATTTGCAGTTTCTCCTACTGAATCTGGTTCTTGTACTTCTGCTGAATCCGATGCATTTGTGGTGTGGAAAATGCATGATCGTGCTATAATGCAATTGATCACAGCCACTCTGTCTCCTGTTGCGTTGTCTTGTGCTATTGGTAGTAAGAGTTCTCAGGATCTTTGGATTCGTCTGAAAGAACAGTTCTCTACGGTGTCTAAGACCAGCATTTTCCAAATGAAGTCCAATCTTCAGACGATAAAGAAAGGGTCTGATTCGGTGTCTCAGTATCTTCACAGAATTAAAGAGGCTAGAGATTACTTATCTGCTGCTGGGGTTTATTTTGCGGATGAGGACATAGTTATTCTTGCTCTCAATGGGTTACCCTCTGAATATAACACTTTTTGATGTGTTATTCGGGGTCGTGAGAATGTGATTTCTCTTAAGGAGTTTCGCTTTCAGTTGCTTGCTGAAGAGGTCATTGTCGAATCCTCCACAACTGCACCTTTTATTACTGCCATGGTTGCTAATACTGTTCCTCATTCTGGCAAGAATCACTCACCTAATCTTGCATCAGGGCAGTCTCAATTCTTTTCTGGAGGATATAAGCAGTTTCATGGGAATAAAAACAAAGGGAAAGGCAAGTTTCAT